TTTTCGAGGATTCTCCGTTTTTACGTTGGGACTGGATCTCCGTCGTTTTGCAGAATGGTTGGCTGATTGATTATTCGAATGTCTTTTCCGACCTCTTGCGTTTCCTGATTTTGCTGGAGACCATTCTCTTGATTGAGAGGGTAAGCTTACACTTGACCTTTCTGATACATTCCGCAAGGATTTTTCCCGGTTATCGCGTTTGGAAAACCTTGACGATTTTCTTGAAGTTGGAGAATAGGGAGGACTGCCGGTTGGAGCAAAGGACGTACTGGCTATAGCATGTGATAAACTAGCTGGAGCATGTGATGAAGTAGCTGGAGCACATGATGAACCAGCTGGAGCACGTGATGAAGTAGCAGGAGCACGCGATGAACCAGCTGAAGTACGTGATGAAGTAGCTAGAGCATGTGAGGATCTGGTTGGAGCACGTGATGATCTGAATGGAGCACGTGGTGGGTTGGCTGGAGCACGTGATGAAGTAGCTGGAGCACGTGATGGGCTGGCTGGAGTACGTGATGAAATCCCTGAAGTACGTGATAATCTGGCTGGAGCACGTGATGATCTGGCTGGAGCACGTGATGATCTGGCTGGAGCACGTGATGATCTGGCTGGAGCACGTGATGGGCTGGCTGGAGCACGTGATGAAGTACCTGAAGTACGTGATGATCTGGCTGGAACACGTGATGGGCTGGCTAAAGATGGCAGACTTTCTAAGTCTTGTAATTGTCTTTTATCTAGATTCGAGGAATCCATCTCAATAATTTCAACAACAACAGCGTGGGAACACTTCGTCTAACCAAGCCTCTGCGTACTAAGGCATTCTAAAATATAACTGTCGTACACCTGTCAATAATGATAATTAATTGATCGATGAGTCGGTTTGCTTTCAAATTAAATTGGCAAATTGAGTCGAAATTCCCTCTGTGCTTTGTGCATCCATTATTTATTTACCGGTTCTTCATTGCAAAAACATCTCCCAACGGGTTGCGAAATGTAAAAGTATTTACACAAACTTTGTCAAATTTCACCGTGTGCAACAGAAAAAAGTAGCTAAGTGCCTTTGCACGCTTATTGTTTGCTTTGGCTGAAATTACTCAAAACGTATTCCAGTATTTTGACGAGATCTTTAAATCTCTTAAAGAATTTAGAAACAGATATCGCTAAACGGTACTACATACACTTTATCTAAGTAAAATGGATTTTTCAGTTTCCAAAAAAATTGAGTTTAGCTGTTTAATAAATGGAAAAATGTTATCTCTCGCAATGCATTCTGGGATACTAGTGGATTTGTCACTCAAATTTTCCCTCCCTCTCATTGGAATGGGAAACGTTGTGTGACAGCAGACACTAAGAATCTTTTAGTATTAGCACAGGTAGCCCAAGCTTGGTTTCTGTGGTGTCATGTTATAAGGAAATGTATGGGGATTCATCAAAAATATCAATAAAATCATTGAAACTAACGTGAAATAAAGCCTCGAAATTTTACCCGATCATCGAGAAATAGCACTTTTTTCGCTCTGTGTGGTCATTTTATTAATTTAGCCCGTTCTAAGTTTTTTTCTCCCACCAGTGGTAGGAGGACTACAGAGAAAGCTATAAAATTGACTGATATACTTCAACAACACTTCTATACAATTGAATTAGCCCAAAAGAGATCTTGGAAATAAGAAATAATGCCAAGCATAAAAAGGCTTTAAATTTATCGACAATGCAAGTCACAATCTTTGTAAAATTTTGCCTACCAACTGAAGGATGTCGCAGTTTCACGCAACATTGCATTAGATTTTARCGGAATATATTTTACATATTTTCAATTTAACAAGTAAAACAAGAAATTCCTTAATGATAGACTTCTTCAGACGGTCTTTTTCTTTATATGGGACTAAAGAGAAAAGGCCGGCTGCACACATATTCTCATTTTCAAAACGGACTTCGATCGTCGGCGTTTTTAAAACATCACAGTTCATTACATATTTAATCGAGTCGTTCAAATCCCTTTAGAGAAGTAAGATTGCAGTCTACTGCTCGTGTAGTAGCAGTTTTCTTTTTAAAATGTCGTTCAAACGGTTTCGTTTTTCTAGCTTATTCAAGATTTAAAACACTTTACACCCTGCATAAGGCTGGAAAGCTAAWAAATACGCTTCTCCAAGTCCTACAAAATACTTCATAATACCACAAATCTCTGYAAAATTTCGCCGGAWATTTTAACTAATTCAAATTAGTATKGAAATTTCACATTCATACWCAAATATCATTATTTTTAGGTAGAATAAAGACGATCTTACCTTTTAGTGAAGTGAAATTTCGGACTTATTGGTTCTGCATCAACTGGTTTCGTACGTATGTTCTAGGAATTATGAAAGCCGGAAATGGCTCCAAAACGACTCACTCCCTCCTCCCCCAATACTATATTGGTACTTATCCCTCCTCACTTGAAGTATTTTTTGCTCTCATTTTCTATTGATCAATCCGAATTTAGCATAAAACATCTATTTATATTTATACCTTTKTGAATATGGTTAGACGAAAAAAAGTGATAAATAAGAGTTATTTAGGCCTTTACGAAAAAATCAGGAACCATGGATTGGAATGGATTCCGGATTCCTGGAGTGGGGTCGGTTCCCTTTGGATTCCAAAAAAAACAAGTTTTGTGGATTTCCAAAGATTATTACAAAAAGAGAGTTAAAATTATTCTCTTAAATCATATTAATCTAGAAAACCACTAAAAAATAGTCAAGAATGAGAAAATGAGAGTAAAAAAGAAAGAAAAAAGAAAAGTGCGTGTGAGAGAGAAAGAATGATCTGTAACAATATTTGATCGTAAAGTTCCCCAATTAACATTACGAATCATTCCCTTGAGTATCATATCTTTATCTATTACCGTTCTTTATAATCTCAATTGCAAATAAACATTTCATGGCTCCATAGCAAAAAAAAAAAAACTACAGCCTAAAAGGGTTGGTAAGAAGGAGGAATAGAATATCGAGATAAAACACGATACTGTTCATCTAGAGAATTGTCTACTGTCTTTGCCTTTCTTTTTCTTGAAGAACATCGTTTTGTTTTGGGTTTGATTGGACTTGTAACCAAACCCCCCTCCTCCTCCTCGTCTTTGGATTCGCTCTCCCTTGCTACTGTGAACATCTGAAAAAATTTAGTTAAGGAACTAATCTTGAACTTCGATCAAACCCTGAAACAACCTCTGGGCTGATCTAAGTCAGGGCGAGGCTCACTCACAGATCGAGCCCTGAAACAACCTCTGCTGTGCTGATCTAAGTCAGGGCATAGCTGACTCACAGATTGAACCTTGAAACAACCTCTGGGCTGATCTAAGTCAGGGCATGGCTATCTCACAGATTGAACCCTGAAGCAACCTCTGGGCTGATCTGAGTCAGGGCACGGCTAACTCACAGATCATTCCCTGAGACAACCTCTGGGCTGACCTAGTTCAGGGCATGGCTTACTCACAGATCGAACCCTAAAACAACCTCTGGGCTAATCTCAGGCAGGGCATGGCTAACTCATAAATTGAACCCTAAAACAACCTCTGGGCTTGTCAGGGCCCAGCTAACACACAGATCAAATTTGAATTTTGTGCATAGGGATTTRGGGAGGGAGGAAAACAGGAGAAGCCGAAGAAAAAAACTCAGATAAAGGTTGAGACCTTCCAAACTTGAAACTCTATATGTGCTGCCCAGTCTAGGAATCAAACCAGAGACCCCAGTGGGAAGAGGTGAGCAGGGGAGGATTGAGGGAGGGGCAAAGAGGGACTATAGCATCCATTCAGCCATGAATAAAAAGCATATTTTTAAATATTYTTTCTAAATTCTGTACTGTCATTCACAAAATTCGGTTACCTCCTTCCCTATATTTTTTATATTTTTGGCTGGATCCACTTGCTGGTGAGTGAACTATCACCAACACCACCCTTGGTTCTCATTGATTCTGAGTTTGCTAAGCAATCAGTCAGATCAAAAGGATACTCAGGCTGACACTTGGAGGACAAGTGAAGCCAAAGGCTGGAGAAACTCTTTGTAAATCTAGAGTATTAACGTTGAAAATGGTCTTGTGTTGATGTGAGGCATAAGCTTGTAGGTAAGATCTGTAGGCGTCTTTAGCTGACTTGTGAAGGTAGTAGTTCTTTTCAATAAGTTTTTCTAACTGGAATTATGAAAAATGACAACAAATTAAAATGATKATGATGATGGTGGTGGTGGTGGTGGTAATGATGGTGATGATGATGTTGATGGTGGTGGTGATAATGGTGATGGTGATGATGTTGGTGGTGGTGGTAATGATGGTGATGATTAGTTGATGATAATGACTGATGATGATGGTGATGATGATGAAGATGATGTTGATGGTGGTGGTGATGATGATGATGGTGATGACAGTGATGGAGGTGATGATGATGGTGGTGAAGATGATGACTGATGATGATGGTGATGATGATGATGATGATAATGGCGATGATGAAGTTTTTGATGGTGGTGGTGATGACGATGATCGACTTATGATGATGGTGATGATATTGATGGTGGTGATGATGATGATGATGATGATGATGATGGTGAAGATGGCAGCGATCAGAAAAAGGAACACAAAGGCTATGTTGACAAAAAAAAAACAACAACAACAGAGAAGCAAGACCTTGGTAAAAGAATTCCATATCTTACCTGAGACTGTATATTAAGAATCTTAGAAGAAGAAAAGTCATATTCATTCAATGGAACCTAAGAAAATAAGGAAATAAAGATTACTCAGTGGTTTGTAAGCAAATACATTTTCCTATCAGTCATTTTTTACTTGCTCACAAAGTATTTCTTTGGTATATACATGTACTTGAGTAGGAAAACTTATTCTAGTGAAAGTCTGTGGAATTTCAAGGTGTTTGTATTATTGAAGTTGTGCATTATTTTCTTTACCATTTGTAACTGTGAATATAATGGCACTAATACTGTATGACGCTAATCCAATATGAGCAAATCAGGGACTGTAATCAAGGAACACAGCAGAATCCATAAAATTTGAAGGGTTTGGAAGGCCTATAACTTAGATTTTACAATAAATTCATRCACTTTTCAAAGTTGATAGAAGAAATACAAACCCTGTTAAAAAACAATACATGTTTTTTTCATTTCAGACTAGGTGTCAATTCCTAGAGAATGAGATTCTATGTTTGTTGTATCCCTATTCATGTGTCTTCTCATGCACAACCATTAAACAAA